TAAGGCTAACTAAAGAAATGAATCCTGGTGTGGCGCTATAGGTAAGCACTGGACATACTCTCTAGGCTGTAATTTGATGTGGCGCTATAGGATAATACACTGGACCACATGGGCTGCTCCTCGGAAACACTATACAGGGTCCCTATGAGTCAGAGCTGACTCAATGTCACTTAGCAGCAGCAGTTTTTATGGAATCCTGGTGTGGCGCTGTAGGATAAAAACTGGACTGCAAGATTGGTTTAAACCAAAAGGTCAGCAGTTCAAACTCACCAGCCACCCCTCAGAAACTCTACGCAGGGTCTCTAAGAGTCAGAACAGACTTGATGGCATTTGACAACAATAACCTTTACGGGAGCAGACTTCCATACTTTCTCCCACTGAGAAGATAGTGGATTTAAACTGCTGAACTTTCAGACACTGGACCTATAATGTTGTTAAATATCACCGACTCAATGGCACCTAACAGCAACAACAGTATAATATGTGGAATCTTGGTGTGACACTGTGGGTTAATGCACTGGACTGCAAAGTCGGTTTGAACTTACCAGGTTGGCGGTTCAAACTCACCAGCCACTTTTCAGAAACACTACACAAGGTCGCTATGGGTCAGAACCAACTTGCTGGTGTAGTGCTGAAAGATAATGCACTGGACCACAAGGTCGGTTTGAACCACAAGGTGGGTGGTTTGAACTCACCAGTTGCTCCTTGGAAACCCTATACAAGGGTCGCTGTGAGCCGGATCCAACTGGACAGCCCTTAACAACAGCAGTATAATATGTAGTTCAAATGAACTCAAAGACAGTGCATTTTTGAGTTAGAATTAGCTCAACAGCACACAAGGATGTGCTAGTTGGATGGTCTTCAACTTGTTACTCAGGTAATGTCAATAAAATTCAGAAGTTAAGAATGTGAAAAGAAAAAGGTCTGGTACAGTTCGCATAAGGAATGTGGAGGCAGCCATTCAGGAAGGTACAGCAAGCTTGCTGAGCAGCAATGAAAGTTCAGCTGAGATGAACTAGCATTCATTATGATTCAAACTGCTAGGATTTTGTGACTTTTATTATCTATAATCAACCGTAGATTTATAAACAGTCCAAAGGATTCTATTTTTTAAATGGTTAATAACTCTTCTGTAAAAAAGTGATTAGTCCACAATATGAATTGCAAGCCTATTGATACGACAAGAATGGCTTTTCCTGAAGTGAAAAGTCAACTTGGTTTTATGCTAACAGTTGACTTTTATTTTGTTGTGAATTTGGGATTTAGGAGACCCTGTATGTTAGAGTCCACTACTCCTCATACTGTAGTGACTTGTGTGGATTACTAAATAACATCATAATAAACGAAGAAAAGATGGAAGCTGTCCAAGACTTTATTTTGCTCAATCAACCATCTACACTCATGGAAGCAGCAGTCAAGAAATCAAACGATATATTGCATTAGGCAAATCTGCTACACAAGACCTCTTTGAAGTGTTAAGAGCAAAGATGTCAGTTTAAGGACTAAGGAGCGCCTGACCCAAGCCATATGTTCTATGGCCTCATATGCATGTGAAAGTTGGACAGTGAATAAGGAAGATGATAGAAGAATTGATACATTTGAATTACGGTGTTGAAGAATAATCTTAAAAGTAGCATGGACTGTCAAAACAAACAAATTTGTATTGGAAGAAGTACAGCCAGAATGGCCAGACTTTGGACATATTATCAGGAAGGATGAATCCCTGGAGGACATCATGCTTGGTAAAGTGGAGGGTCAGTGAAAAAGAGGAAGCCCCTCAATGAGATGGATTGGCACAGTGGCTGTAACAATAAGTGTAAAAATGACTTTGAGGATAGCAAAGGAACAGGCAGTGTTTCGTTCTGTTGTGCATAGGGCTGCTATGAGTTGGAACGGATCAGACAGTACCTAGGAACAACATGTTAAGAGAACTGCTCCATAGGGTTTCCTGGGACGTACACTTTAGAGAAGGCAGATAGCCAGAACTGTTTGTTCCATGTGCCAATCTTTTAGGTTACCAGCCAAGTACAAACCATTTGTGCAATACAGGGACCTTGCAAAGTCTTTAGGAGCAAAGCCTTCACTACTGGTCATAATTCTCAGTGTGAAGCTATACGGGGTTGAAAATTTTGTTACATATTTTCTCCTTTATTATCAGGATTATTTCTCTAAAGTAATTGCTTTGTGTGTTTGTATGTTTTTTGTGATTTCTTTGTAGCTGTTGCACATTTTGAGTTTTTCAAGTCAGCTAATAGTTCAGAAAAATAAAATATTTTGCTGCACTTCCAGCTAAGGAATAGAGCATAGCAAGATGTATTCTTTCTTGATCTCTTTTGAGTCTCCAGTATATGACGCTATTCTTGTTCTTCTTTGGTCTGGTTTTGCTACATTTCTTAAGTCCCAAAGCCACTTTACATTCTTTCATGGAATAATAGAACATGTAAGTATTAAACATAAATATTTTAAATATTTTAATGTTGTTATTGTTATGTGCTGTGGACTTGGTTCCAACTCATAGCGACCCTGTACAGGGTTTTCAAGGCTGTAAATGTTTATGGGAGCAGAAAGCCTCATCTTTCTCCCGCGGAACAGCTGGTAGTTTCGAACTGCTGACCTTGTGGTTCGCAGCCCGATTTGTAAGCACTACTTGAGGTAAATTATTAAATAAAATAAACATCTGCAATTATAAGGCAACAAGACGCTAAAGAGCTTTTTGAATATCTCTTACAACTTTCCATTTAAGAATATTACACAAGTGTTGACAGCAGAAAGCCAAGTTTCTAACAGTAAAACAGAGAATTATAGCAAAATAAGCATGAAAATTCAGACTCGGATATTTGTCTCAGTTCTTTTTTAAAGATGACATTTAGCATAAATATGCCTAAGAATTTAAGAAAAGCAACTTGCCCTCCCTAGTTATCTTGGACTTCTAATGTGGCGCTGTTGGATTAGCATATGGACTATGAAACATAAGTTCAAACCCACCAACTGATCCTTGGAGATCCTACACTGATTCAACAGCACTTAACAAGTAATACTGGGAAGAATCCTGGTAACACAGGGGTTAAATACTCAGCTGCTACCAAAAGGTGAGCTGTTCAAACACACCAGCTGCTGTGGTAGGAAAACCAGCTATCTGCTCCCTTAAAGCCTATAGTCTTCTACTGTATCCTGTGGAGTCCTGGTGTGGTACCTTAGGATAAGCACTTGACTGATAACCACCAGGTTGGCAATCCAAATCTACCAGCCACTCCTTGAAAACCTCATACAGGGTCATTATGAGTCATAGCTGACTTGAGGGCTCTTAAGGCAAGGACTCTATCCTACATGGTGTCAATGATCAATTATCAATTCAATGGCAATGATAATAAAGTGCTGGAAGTGTTTTTTTCCAACTCAACTACTATTAAAAATCAATGATGTTGTTGTGGTAGTTGAGGTGAGTTCTAGGACCAGGTAACCTGAGTTCAGATCCTAGTCCACCACTTGAGCTGTGTGACCTAAGCTATTGACCTGTTTCTTCTCTTGAAAAATGGTGCTAATAGAACCTACCTCATGGGATTTTGAGGACTTAGTAAGTTAAAGTTAAGTGCTTGTCACTGCCATGGAGTCAATTCTGACTCATAGCGACCTTGTATAGGGTTTCTGAGACTGTAAAATCGTTAAGGGTGCATAAAACCTCACCCTTCTTCCAAGGAACAGCTGATGGTTAGTAGTCCAGTGCTTATCCTACAGCACCACCAGGGATCCTTAGTGAGGTGCTTACAACAGTGGTTATGGCACTGAAGTGTCTAAGAAATTGATGTTGTTGTTGTTATGTGCCATCAAGTCATTTCCGACCCATAGCGACTCTGTATAGGGTTTCCGAGGGTGTAAATCTTTACGGGAGTAGAAAGCCTCATCTTTCTCCCGCGGTGCAGCTGGTAGTTTCGAACCGCTGACCTCTTAAGGTTCGCAGCCTGATTCGTAACCGCTACGCTACCAGAGATAGCTATAATTTATTTAGGCCTTACAGTTGCTGAGACACATAAGCCTCTCAGGGTTCATGCCAAAAATTTGTACTTAAACAAGTCCATGAATAGTTGGGATTCCAGGCCAGACTAATGTGTAGCTAAAGAACAAAGAGGAGCCTTTAGAACTCTGGCTGAGAAATATCCATGTAAGTCAAACTTCAATTGAAAACAAAACCCGGTCAGTTTAATGGTACACTGCACAGGTTTGATACCACACTTCCACATGAATTAGCTCCTATTAGAGTCTTGGTATGGTGTTGTATGATAAGCACTGACCTGCTAACCACAAGGTCTGCAGTTCAATCCCACCAGCTGTTTCTCAGTTGGAACTGACTAGAAAACATTTAACAAGAGTCCTATTAGGAGTTGCAGTGTAGAGTTGTAGGATAAACACTGAACCGTTAACCACAAGATTGGGGATTCATACCCATCAGCCGCTCCTCAGAAACCCTATATAGGGTGGCTATCAGTTGGAACCGACTCCATGGAACTTAACAACAAACAGAATTCCATTAAGGTGCCCTGGTGGCATAGTGGTTAAAGTGCTTGCTTACTAACCCAAAAGTTTTCCTGGGCTTTACGAGAGAAAAACTGTGGCAGCCTGCTTCTGTAAAGTCTTGGAAGCCTTGCAGGGCAGGAAGTCCTATTCTGGATGGTGGCCTGTATGAGAGCCCTACGAAATTCCTTTATTTAGCAAATATTCATTGAAGGCCTTCACCATGTACTGTGCTAGGCTTGAAATACTACAGAACATTTACTAAACCCCACACACATTCACATCCTTCTCTTAAACTGCTTCAAACTATTCGTAGTAAAATAAAATGGCTTTAAAACATTAGACCTATCATGAATTTAATGGAAATCACAAATAAGAGCCCATCACAATGTCAAGCTTTGAAATACCGAAAACATGCAAAATGTGACAATTAGTAAACTTTGGGGTCCATGCGCTGACGTGAGTCCTCCACGGCAGAAGTGAAGAACTACTTAGTCCCACTGGACTGTCCGCGCCTCCTCAGGAAGAATACTCCAGTTGGGGGAGGCCACATCCCGAGCCAGCCAGTTGAAATCATCAATGTCCTTCCAGTTATTTTTGTTCCTATCTAAACCAGAGCCTTGGAAATCCTCATCGATCCCCGGGTAGGTCCAAGTATATGGGGCGAATTGGATCCCGTGGCAGTCCTCTACAATGGCCCTGCTGGTCACCTGCAGGAAGATGCGGGTGTCTTTTGTAGTGTGGATGCGGAGCTGTTGGCAGGCCACGACGAGCACACAGTCACTGCAGTCATCTAGGAACACGGAGGTGGACACTGGCCCGCAGAGCACTGTGCAGCCGCGAGCCTTGGTCAGCCGCAAGGTGTTGGGATTGCCATACAGTCTGATCGTGCAGTGGCTCAGCTCGGTCAAAAGGATGTCACGCTGGTACAGCTCTTCCGCTCTCTTCTCCAAGACTTGAGACTCCAGATTGGAGAAGCCACAGATCCATCTGGAGCCGAGGTCTCGCTCCTCTTTCAAGGGCGGTGGAGTGGCCAACATGCCTTCAGCTACCAGGGCGCCAGCAGCCGCGTCTACTTCGGTGGCGGATGCGACATCCTTCCTCCGTGTTTTGAAAGCGAAACGCTTCTTGGGCTGCAGCTGCTGGCGCCGTTCGGCTAGGGTCGCCTGCAGTCGCGCTAGCGCCTCCTGTCCCTGCCGCAAGTCATAGGCAGCCAGGAACAACACCGAGTCGTTGAGAAGTTTCTGCAGCCCCTGGAGTCGGACCGCCGCCTCTTCCAGCCGCCCGACGGACTCCCCGCCCTCCAGAAGCTCTTCCACCGCTGCTCTCTCCCGGGAGAAGGCAGCGGCGAAAAAGTCACTCTTCTCTTCCTCTACCTCCTGGTCCTGTCGCTTTTGCTTCCGCCTTTCCACCTCCAGTTGCCGCTCTTGTTCACGTCTCTGAAGCCGCTCAGGCACCAGGCTCAGGTCCCGCTGGGATCCCACGCCTCCGTTGCCTACAACGGCAGCTGAACAACTAGCAGACTCCATCTTGACTTCAAGCTTCCTTTCTTCAGCGTTCCTTCCTCTGGGAGCGCCCTCCGAGAGGCCTCCCACCAACACGTCCTGTGATTGGCTGACCGTGATGACATCAAGCTGACGGCCTTATTTTCTTTACCCATTGGGTCCTTCACGCCGTAGGGGGCGGGGACAAAGGGCGGGGTCGGCTGACTAGTGGGGTGGGGAGACAAAGGTCCTTGTGGATGGGTGGGGTAGTAGGCAGGCGGGGGAAGGTTTTTTTTTCTCTTAAAGGGGCAGGACTTATATCCGGGATTGTGGGGTGAGTTGCAGCAGCGGCAGCTGCACATGTGGGTTTGTTTATAAGAACAAGGTTAGAAACTCGCAGGCCTCCCCCTCCCCCCAGCTCCTCCCTGCTACCACCTTACAGGCCAGAGATCCGATACTGGGGGAGAGATGTGTGTGCGTGGTGGGTGGTGGGACAGGTAGTGGTGAGAAAGATGGAGGGGGGGGGGGAATATTGCACCGCCCGGCCCGCGCTGGAGGAAGCTGGAACAGCTGGCTAGGGAGCTGCTTGCATGCTGCTGTTTTTTTCTTTTCCCTTCCACACCCCTTCCTCCAACCCATTCCTGTCGCCCCATAACCCTCATCCCACGCGCCCCCCCATCCTCTGCGGCCTGGGGGTGCCTAGGCTCTCCCAGACAGATTCTGAGGCGGAAGATGGTGAGGGGCAACAAGATGGGAGAGACTGGGTCCCTCACAGTAACCCGGATCGGGGGGCTCTGGTTGAGTCTGAAACGGATTACTATTTTTTTGGCCAATTGCTGCAGTCGGAGGGGTGGGGGCGGGGAAGGGTGCGATTCCACACCCCCTTCCTCTTTCCCCACGCCCTCGCCCCCCTTGCGGCCACTCCCTTCGCAGCTGGCGGCGCTAAAGGGAGACCCCGACCCCGGGCTCAGCGGCTCTCTGCAGGGCGGACGGTCTTTAGGAAAGCGAGGGGGGGAATGTTACATTCTTTCTAGAGGTGGTGGGAGGGATTTGTCACCGGAAGTGAATGAGCCCAGCCTAGTGTCGGGACGAACTCGAGGTGTGAGTGGGCCGCCCTGACGGCGCAGTCCCTGGCGAGAGTCCAGGGCTGGGGTTGGGCGCGAACCTGGGATGCAGCGGCTGCCCGGCTCCGTCACTCTGTGCGTTCGGTCTGCTTGACGGAGCTCTGGAGCCTCCAGCCCGCGGTTTCACCCTTATCCCCGCCCCCATTCCCAGCCTCCGTCGTTTTTAAATTGTGATATTCAACTACCCAAGAAACTTCCTCTTGAAATGTCACCGATATACCTGCATTTTAAGGCCGAGAAAAATTAGAGGAAATGGGAGCTTTTGAATCACGCCCCACTCTCGTTGCTTTCCCATTAAAACAAACAAAAACCCGGTTCAACAGAGTATTTCTCCACTGAGAGTCAGGAATGGTCACCGTGTGGCAAATTCCACGCGGGAGCGGGGGATGTCTTGTGTGTTTATGTGTTGTCTGAGCACCGATGGCAACGGGGGTGCTGATAAAATGCTGTCCTGAGAATGCTTATGTAGAGTCGTCGTTCTGATCAGTTTTATATAAAGGGTGAGACTTTTTTTTCAAAACAGGTACATCTCACAAAGATGTGCATCCAAGCTGGTGAATTAAATAGAGCTGGTTTTCGTGTGCAAGTCAGTGTAATAAGTACTTGATTTTTATGATTTTATGAAGTGTTGATTTGACCAAAGAAGGTTTAGAGAAGACTTTGCTAGGAAAAGCAATCTCACAGTTTCCTATAAACTTTGCAGCAAATTGAACCTGCCCCACTCAAGTTGAGAATTTTTGTAGCCAAAGAAAGTCTGTCTCTTGGACCTGGAGGTTTTAGCTGGACTCAGGCAATATTTCTGTGTTAACCTTAGTGAATCTTCGAGTGATTGTCGGTGTTGGCTGTATCAGAAGTGGAATTAAACATCATTAAACCTTTCCAAGAACTTAATTTCTGTTCAACAACAGGTTTGGGCATAGAGTCCAGTAGACTGGAAATTTCTGAGTATTCTCAGTTGGTTAATTCAAAGTTTTTAAAGAAATGAACAGTTGGCCCAGTCTATTGGCGGCAGTTTTGAAATCTAACACAGGCCTGAGTGGGAACCGACAGATCATACTGCTGTAGTCATCATGAAGGTTGGCTTGATAGTGCTTTACAACCCAGGACTGCTGCTGGTTGGGTTAGGTGGTTTCTAGGTTTCCAAGCAGTAGGTAGGCTGGCACTGCTATACTGTGTTTGAACCCTCTTATCTGACAAGATTGCAGCCTTGGAAACCCTGTGCAGGGTCACTATGAGTCAAAATCAACTTCACGGTGCTTAACAACAACAAATCTGACATTTAAGGAGCTCTGGTAGCGTAGTGGTTACGCAGACCTCAAGGTCAGCAGTTGGAAACTACGAGCTGCTTCAAGGGAAAAAAAAATGAGGTTTTCTGCTCCCCTAAAGATTTGCAGCCTCGGAAACCTTTTACAGGGTCGCTATGAGTCGGAACCGACTATGAATCGGAACCGACTCCACGGCACATAACCACCATCTGACATTTGGGAGTCCTGGTGTGGTGCTCTGGGCTAATGCGCCAGACTGCAAAGTCATTTGAACTGCAAGGTTGGTGGTTCAAGCTCACCAGCTGCTCCTTGGAAACCCTATGGGTAGCTATGGGTCGGAATCGACTCGAAGGCACTTAACAACAACAATCTGACATTTGAGGGCTGTCAATTCAGAATTCATCCTTGAAATGGATCTCAGCTTCTCAGAGGTAAGTGCTTGTTCTGATGGTAGGAAAGAGGTTGATGTACTACAACAGGAATATGGTAAAAAGGCAAGCAGGCGTGAATTCGGAATTCTGCTTTTAAAGATACCTTCAAGTGCTTGTCAATCAAAGTACTGCTCCCTTTTAGACATCTTGAAAATTCTTAAAAAGAATTCTAAGGTGATGGTGGTGGTGTGCCATAGAGTCAGTTGTGACTCATAGCGACCCTGTATAGGGTTTCTGAGGCTGTAAATCTTTACAGTAGCAGAAAGACTCATCTTTCTTCTGCAGAACAGCTAATAGTTTTGAACTGCTGACCTTGAGGTTAGCAGCCTGATTTGTAACCACTACCGCTACCAGAGACTCAAAATAGTTATTTAACACCAAATCAGGTGCTTTGTGATTCTATTTATTAGGTTTGTTTATTTGTATTTTTATTTTAATTTCATGCATACTGTTGTCAGTAAGTGCCAGGTAAGTGCCGTTGAGTTGGTTCCGACTCATAGTGACCCTGTATAGAATTTCCAAAGAGCAGTTGGTGAGCTTGAACCTCCGACTTGCAGTTCAAACTGACCTTGCAGTCCAGCGCATTAACCCACAGCACCTGGTGGTGGCTGTGTGCCGTGGAGTCGGTTCCGACTCATCGCGACCCTGTACAGAGTTTTTGAGGCTGTAAATCTTTAAGGGAGCAGAAAGCCTCATCTTTCTCCCGCGGAACGGCTGGTAGTTTCAAACTGCTGACCTTGTGATTTGCAGCCCGATTCTAACCATTACGCTACCAGAGCTCCATAGAACCTAGAAATGTTAAAACAGAAAACACATGCATACCCATCCCCGGTTTCAACAGTTATTAACTCACAATCTTGTTTCTTCTAGCCACTTCCTCATTATCTTAAAGCCTAAACATTGCTTTTTTTTTTTTCAACACCTCCCCTTTTAACCCCTAACCAGAATTTTCCAAGGGCTTTTTGAAGCACTATATCTATATCTATAGATAGATATAGATATAGATATCTAGATATCTATCTATCTATCTATATATATATAGACTGCTAATGCAATGTCAGTGATTCAAGCCTACTTAATATCATCAGATTCCTGGTCTGTATTCATCTTCCTCTGATTATCCTATTTTTTTTTTTTAACAGTTATTTTATTTGAATAGGGATCCAAACAGTTCTATACAATGTGTCTACTTAATGCTGTTATGTTCCTTAAATTGACTTAAATGTATGGACTCCTTCTCTTCCTCCCTTTCTCTTTCAATTATTCTGTTGTACTGTTTGCTCAATAGCATTGCCCTGGTTAAGGAGCCCTGATTAAGCACTTAGCTGCTTCACCAGCTGCTCAAGAGAAAGATGTTGCGATTCTGCTGAGGTAGAGTGTTGTTGTTAAGTGCCATTGAGTAGATTTCAACTCATAACCATCCTGTATAGAGTTTCCAAGGAGCTGTTGGTAGAATTGAGCCATTAAGCTTGCTATTGGCAGTCTAGTGCATATCTGACAGTGTGCCACACCAGAGCTCCTCTTTGGAAATCCTGTTGGGCAGTTCTACTCTGACCTATAGATAGGGTTGCTATGAATTGGAATCAACCTGGTGGCAATAGTTTTTTGGTTTTGTTTGTGTGGTTTAGTTTCCCATAGTCTGGATTTTACTGGTTTTGTGGTGCTGTAGGTTAATGTGCTGGACTACAAAATCGGTTTGAACTACAAGGTCAGCGATTCACGCTTACCAGCTGCTCCTTGGAAATCCTATATCTGGTTGCTATGTGTTGGAACTGACTCAATGGTACTTAACAACAACCACAACCCCATGGTGTATTTCTTAGATATGAAATATTTGTCATATTTGTTTGACCACTTAAATGTTAAGGACCAAAGGTCTAAAGGACACACTCTACTCCCAGATCTCTTTTTATATCTCAGGAGATTGACTAAAGATACAACCTAATCTGTAGATTGCATCTGAGCTCATTAACATCTTAGAACTGAAGATTTGCAGCGCGTAGGATAATTGCATCAGATCAAGGTTGATGACATTAAAATCACATCATGTTGGAGGTGATTATATTACATTAGATCTCATCAGGGGAATTACTACATCTTAACAGCTGAACCACTAAGAATCCTGGCCCAGCCAAGTTAACACAAAACTTTAACTATCATAGTCTACCCCTTGTCCACATGTATCAAGTGTTACACAAGTTTTTCTGCCTTGGTCACTGTCTTTT